TATTTAACCAAGTTTGTAAAAACATTTGTTTTGATAAGCATTTTGTTGTTAAGTGGTTGGGTTTCTCGGTAGCGCCAGCCTCTGAAAAAAGGCTCTCAGCAGGCACCGAGGTACCAACTAAATGACAGTATTTTTTCGAAAATCCGTAAAGTTTTAGGTAAATAGTTTTCATTTCCTCCCATGCGTCGATGATATTCCGCTTTAGTTCTAGGACTTGACAATTTAAATAAAAACTAATTTCATCTTGTGGGTGGCCCAAATCATAATATTTTCGCCTTCGCTTGTGTGCAAGAAATTTATGAGGGGCCCAAAGATCGAACTCATTTTCTACTGATTCTAGTGACGACTCGCTACCCGTTTCCATAAGATCACTTGCGCACATTATTTCATTTCGCAAGAACTTCATTACTGAGGCCTATGCTAACGGATCTTTGAAATTAATTATTTTGAACTTTGCGTCGAGAGTAAAGTTGATGCATTTGTCGCATTTGCATCCATATATTTAACGAATAAATTCAATTTATTTTTATATGAAAGAAACCCGCAACACCTTCGGGAAAAAATTCTAAAAAATCAACGGTAATTTTTTGCTACTTGAAACTTGCACATTGTTAGACTAAAATTCAATGGGCTATAGAACTGTGTACTCAAAAAAATTCTAACACTGCTGAGAAAAAGTTTGAAATTTAGGTGAAAATTTATTGAATTTTTTTGTAGTTTTCTACAAAGTTTTAAACTTTGGTTTATATGGGTTTTGTTAGATAATGAACTGTAGTTTAATTGAAAACTCCTAAAAATAAATAGATAAACATAAGAGGCAAACAATATCACTTTAAAATGGGCGTGCTATTGTATTGGCCAATACTGTATGTATATACGCTCCCATCGGGGTAAAAATGAAGGCACAGTTTCTTCTAATGGGCTATTGCTAATCGATACAGCTACGAAATTTGTACACAACTTAGAAGACACATTTTTAATTTTTTTTTTATTTTAACACTTGCAGCAAAGGTATGTACATAAGACCGTACTACTTCACAAGACAACAAAAAAAGTTCGCCGTACACCCCTAAATCTAAAGTATTTTTGCAAGGCAATTTCGAAAAAAAATATTTTAGGACCGAAACTTTCCCCTTGACTTTTTACATTTTTTGGTGACGGCAATAAAGTTTTTTTTAGATTGTTCTAATGGAATAATCGAAATACTTACTTAGCAAAAGTTTAATGATTTTTGGTGAGCTTTGAATTACTGACTATAAGGTGATAAGAACTGAGGTCTGGTACGTAAATACTAGAATTGGGTACTTGAGGTCAATGAAATGTGAAACAAAAAAAATTCTCCTCAATACAAGACCATGTATAAATCATACTTTACGATCCGACTAGAAATACAGAAGATATGTGAAAAATTTAAAAAGTGGACCCCTACCTTTTTCTGGCACGGTCTAATGCACATAGTAAGATACCTATTTTTCAAATAAACAAATAAGTAGAAAGTATTCACGGATCCACTGTTCTACTCATAGAAACATGTACATATGTATGTATTCATGTGTATGCATACCTAAATTTGCACATATGTACATATATGAAGTGAATATAATGCTTTATTAAATTAGAATATGTACACATTCTCAGAAGACGTAAGACAAGCTTTGGAACGAACCATGAGAAATAGAACATACGCCTACGTACGTACGAATATTCACTCAACTAATCTAATTGAGCAGACATAAATACCTGTTTACGTACCTCACCCCAGTAGTAAAAAATAATAAATAAAAATCGAAAGTCCAAAAGAAATGCATCAACTTCAGAACGAGACCTTACCTCTTACCCACATTCTGCTCAACCGACGGAGTGGTGTGTCTAAAGAACCAATGGTTGGTCAGTTGACCGGTGTCCGGAAGCCGCCCTGCTCTTCACCAGCACACGTGTTAGTGAAGTACTGGAGTCAATTCGCAAAAGAGTGGCAATGGGTGAACTATTTTGGTTTCGGTCCAAACAGACAAGCAACTGTGATGCCATATAGGTATGTATGTAATAACATGCATACATACAGTACCAAAGTAGACTAGTACCGCATAAGTCCTGATACAGCTCAATTTACTACGTTACATTTCTGCACTATACTATGCAATATATTGTACCGGGTGCGCCAATTTGAGTGATAGCTACGGTGACCATTCGTACCGATTTCGGCGGGACAGTATCGATTTTGAGAAAATTGTCCCGCTTAATATTTTTTAAAAGTCGGGACGTTAAAGTAACGAGGCAGCACTTTCGTTAACACAAAGGACTTAAAATATATATAAGTGAGCCATAAACATAGCCAACATTCTTATTAATATTATATAAATATAATTAATGAAATTATAAAAAAATAATACTAATACCCGTGGATATCGTGGATATGAAAAACATAAGCAGTAGATAGAGTGGCAAAAATATAAATAGGGAAGAGACATTTTAGCTTTATTTGGCTATTCCCCTTTCGATTATTAAATTATTCCTTTTTATAAAAGTGTGGCTCGTTATCTAACAAATACCATGTAAGTCAGAATTTCAAACTTCGTACAAAAATTAGGAAAATTCGACAAAGTTTCATCAAAGTTTTGAGCTTTTTAAATTGGATTTCTTCGAAACATTTTGAGTATGCATGTTGTAACCTATTCAATTCAAAGTGCAAATTTTAAATAGCTAGGACTTACCGTTGATATTTGGTAAATTTTGTGGAAGGTGTTGCTCATTTTCTTCATACAAAAAAAAATTGTTGAACACACTGTGTATGGAAGAAAATGCGCGCACAAAAAATTGCCAAAAATCAACGGTAAGTCCTAGCTTCTTCCAGCTTGTAGTTTATTATACTAAAATTGAATGGGCATCAAAACATAGCACACACAAAATAATCCTAGAAAATCTGATTAAAATTTTTCAAATTGTTTTTAAATTTTTCCTCTTGGTTTTGTTTTAAATAAAACTGTATGAAGCCATTTTATTGTAAAAACAAAATTGTATGTTCGGATTCGATGCTTTAGAAATGTTTCGATTTTTGGCCACAGAAATCTGGTCACCGTAGTGATAGCCTATTTTCACATTTCGAATCTACATACACTAGGCGACAAATGAAAGTGTACACCTTGTTCTAATATAATATTCACAATTATTTTCATGAGCAATTTTTTGAAAGTAATTCTTAATGACAATATAATTCATTCTATAATATAAACCATATAAATCAATGTTTCACACTTTACAACGACACCTATCTTGGCAGACAGTTCGAAAACGCCCTATCACTGAAAACTTTTCAAGAGCGCCCTACCTCAGAATTTGATTGACGAGCGCCATATCTCGGAATTCGGTTCAAAAACGCCCTATCTCAAAAGAAAATACATTGAAAATGTGCTGATATAGGGCGTTTTTGAACCGAATTCTGAGATATGGTGTTTTTGAATAAAATTCTGAGATAGGGCGTTCTTGAAAAGTTTTCCGAGTTAGCGCGTTTTCGAACTCAAGCGTCGAAATAGAGTTCACAAAAATTCTAAAAATTTTCATCAAAATTTCAAACTTTTTATTCAGAATTATTAGAAAATTTTCAAGTATGCAGTTTTGTAGCCGATTCAATTTTTTTAAAACAAAGTGCAAGTTTAAATTATCATTGATTATTTAGATTTTTTTTTTTGTTTCGATCTAAATAAAAAAGTATAGACACTGAAAGACTTTAAACTATTAACATATGCAGCTATGGTCAAAGATTTAGCACCTAAATTCAAAAAGATATTGTTTGCAACTTAAAATTACTTATTTATTTTTAATAATTTTCATTTAAAATATAATTCGATCTTTAATTCAGCTTCAAATTTCAAAACATTAATCCAACTTACAAAAAATTTCATAAACATTTTTGGGTTTGCAGTTTTGTAGCCCATTCAATTTTAAACTAATAAAGTGCAAGTAGCTAAAAGTCACCGTTGATTTTTAAGATATTTTTTTGTCGAGGATGTTGCGTATTTCCTTCCATATAAATATAGATTTTTGAAATTTTTGCAAGCTTTGAAATTTTTATTAATGTATTTGTATATCATTTTGAATTTAGGAGCTAAATCTTTGACCATAGCATATGTTCATTAAGTCGTACGGAAAAAGATTCGCCCTACAGCCCTGAGTCGTAAAGTTTTTTGCAAGGCATTTAAAAAATGTTTTTTTTTTTGTCGAACGCAGGGTTCGCAGTTTTACATTTTTCGTCATAGCTTCGGCATTAAATTTTTGCTCAGGAAGTATTGTGGTTATTCTAGTATCTTCGGCATTAAATTTTTGCTGTAAAAAAAAATGTCATTGCCGAATGTCTCACCCGTTGAAACTGCCTTGGAAAATACTTCACGACTTAAGGCCAGTATGCAGCTTTCAAAAAAAGCGAAAACTCCATATAAAATGGCGTACAAGAAATGGCTAAGAAATTTTCTTGATTAAAATTTCCTTAAGTCAGTACGCAGTTCATAAGAAATTTGCTACGCTTTCTACTACGGTTTTCTAAAGTCTTTTTGCGAAAAAAAGAGCACAAGGCAACCCATGTTTGCAACAGAAATATATGCCCGTTCCGATATTTCTTAAGGAAATAGTGAGGCAACAGGCTGTGAAGTATCAGATGTCAAAATTCCTCGCACACACACACGAAATAATGGCAATTTTTTTCTTGACCGTTTTCTTGAGAGCTGCATACTGGGTTTTAGGTTGTTTGCTTGTAAAGTGATAGTGTTCGAAAATATTAAACAAATGGAACCATTTTAGAACGATGTCCCTTCAATCGGCGCACCCAGTATAGCTATATGGTGCGCACAAAAACAAACAATAACACTACATACATTGAAAGTACTGTATGATGGTATTATCGAGCGCATAGCCAGCCACAAAGACCCGATGCCATCCATACATATCGTATGAGCTTTATCACACCGTTACTGATTGTCGATTGACGCTCGCCAGCTTTTGTTATAGTTTAAATAATACAAACAAGCCTGTCTGCTAATATTTTGCATTTACATATAACAAAAATCAGTAGATACTTAACGGTGCTGGTGAGCAGTTCATAAATTCCGAAGAAAAGGAAAAGTGACGCTAATAAAGTAAAATAAAATAGTGACAAATATCTTTCTACAAAGTTTTTTCATCTTTATAAAAAAAAAATACATATAATTATACTTAAATAAAAATGCAGCAGAACGTCGTATTTTTGCTTATTGCTTTATGCATTTCATCGAGCGTGGTTTATGGTCTACAATTTACAGATTGCGGTAAATACTTAAATGCACATAAAGTACGAAAGTGCATTGTAAATTTCTTAGCAGGAGCATATTAGTGAAATTTTGGTCACAATTCAAAATTAAACAAAAATATGGGCATAAAAGTCTTTAAATGGGCAAAAGTGCTTATATAGAAATGTTTACTGCTTTTTTGCTATGAGTGCAATAATTGTGGTTCCACATTAAAATAAATATACATAATTAATAATTTTTAGTAATTTCTATTTATGTACTTAAATAAAATACGCTTTTAGGGCACTCCTATTCAAATAAACTCGTCCTTGTTACGGAGCACTGAGCAGGCTCGAAAAAATATAAAGACAGAACATTAAAATAAAAAAATCAGAACGAAAAGCCCTTGCTTTGTCCGATGATTTGTCTTTGTTGAATTTTTATCCGTTTGTCATATTTCCAGTCCGTTACCCATTCTCTTTATCGTTGTCATCAATTAACCCATATGCCCTCAAGTGTAAAATATACATAAATACATATCGTCGTTTAAAGTACAAAACCGCGTATCGTCATTCTGCAAAACCGCGTAACTGACATTTGCTGCCAAAAATTGGATTTGCTCACACAAGTTCTTGTCTCCTTATTCATTCGTCCTGAAGTATACTTGCCAGAAATGCGATTGCTTTATAAAAAAGAGAACCACTTTGAAATATAAGTGTTTTTACTCTCCAGAAAATAATTTATGCAACCTCACATACGCGGTTTTGCATTTTGTTGATACGCAAAACCGTCGTTTACTTTAAACGACGATATGTATGTAGCTGTTGTTAAACTGAAATATTTTGCAATCTTATGTCACCTGCGCACGGCAGATTCTTTAAAAAAAAAACGTTTTATATAAAAGTATGTAAGCGAGGTTAAATTTGCTGATCAACATGATCTCACATTGACCGGAACTGGTCCCTAATGTTGCCAAGAGTGCGTATGGAAACCTCAGATCATACTCGTGATGCAAATTTCAGTAGATAACAGGAACGCCAAACCAAGGCAGCTAAGTCGCGATCTGCAAAATGCTGGGCAGTGACATAGATATGATAAATAGGGTAAGCACTGTGACCAATAGGTCTATTGTGCCCTTAGCTCATCACGACAGTACGGCTAGCCTAGATCCGGAAGGTGGTGAGTCTATGTGCTCTTCTATTGGCCATAGATGTCCAATGTCCCTCTCACAATCACGTGAAACGGCCTCACACTCGAGGAGGGGGTGCTATGATGTCTCTTTGGCGGAGGCACAAAAACGCCTGACCAGATCCCTATCTTATGCAAGTGGGCAGTGACAGCAGGTGCACAAGCGTGGGCTTAGCATTCATTTGGCTGCAGGTTAGACATACTTAGAACATAGAGCGTATCAAACAGTGCTCCATTAATACTGCAACCACGAGTCTAAAATCTATTATTCAAAAGTGTCAACAGATTTGTTAGTTAGATTTTGGCTGCGATGTCAAGGAAAGAAAAGTGTCTATAAAAAAGTGAAGTGAATTTGAACAGCATCATTCTTCGTCCATGCTTCTTCAGAGAATGAGTGTGGGAAGATGGCTACTGTTTTTTTGCTGTGATCTCTTCATAAACTCAAAACCCATTTTTCCCGGGAGGGTATTTCGAGCTGAAATATATGCTCTATAAAAGAGCAAGACGATGAGCGACACCCTAGCGTAGTAGCTTTTACCTAACTAACCGCATAAAGCAGCAATAGGGGCTTCCGGTAAATATATGTATGTAAATATAACTGAGGTTAACATTGAGGAAAAAATTTGAAAAAAATCACACATACACACATAAAAATTTTCTGTGAAAATACATATTTTTAAATTTTTTTTTTGAAAAATTTTTCATAAACAATTTTTTTTTTAATTTTTTGAGTATGCAGTTTTGTAGCCCATTAATAAAGTGCAAGTTTTAAGCGATTCCAAAACTGACGTTAATTTTTTTAAATTTTCTTTAAAAACGGTTTTGCGCATTTCCTTCCACAAGAAAAAGGTGCAAAAAATATTAAAAACCGCAATTTTTCATAATCAAAAAAAATGCTAAAAAAAACTAAAAAAATTTGTAAATTTGTAATGTACTCATTTTACTCAACTTCGGTGTAAATAAAAATTCATAACTCAATTGTAGAGTGCACCCCGTAATTCTATACCTAAATATTGCGCAATACTCAGAGCTACCATTGTGATTTTTTTCAGTTTTTTTTCTAAGATGACATATTTTCAAAAACTATTTTTTTTATCAAAAAATTTGTATGTAAAAAAATTTTCAAGAAAAAAAATTAAAAAATATTTATTTTCATATATAATTTTGATTTGTGTTGTGTGATTTTTTTTTTAAGATTTTCCTCGCCCCGTTCTCGAGATATTTGGAAAACTATTAAATCGTTTTGTTTTTGCTTTTGTGCTGTACAGTTTTTACAAATGTATTAATCAAGCTCAAATTTCATATTTATTTATTATTTATGTTTATCAATCAACCCTAAAAATGTGAAACAAATCAACACATGAAGTGTGAACCACGTCCATTTTGGTATGGAACGCCTTAATACAGTTGAGAACAAAATAACAGGAGTTTTTATTTTGCTTGTTTAATTTATTAATTTTTTATAAAATGTAGTTCACATAAATTCAAATTTCCAACTTTGTGAAAAAATTATAAGAATTCAAAAAATGTTTCCAAATTTTTAGAAAAGTGATAGTTATGTTTTTTATAGCCCATTAAGTTTTAGCATAATAGTATAAGTAAGTTTGAAGTTGGTTTTTGGAATTTTTTTCTTTGGTGCCTGGAATATATATGTAGTTAGTGGCTCGTCTATTAGCGCAAGATTCCTCTAACCTGGTTCTGCACTGCTTTACACCAAGCGATCACAGCAAAGACTTATTTAATGCCCAGCTGTTCACTATCAGGATCATATTTATGTACATCGATGGCTCCGAGGTACTTTTAATTTGATACAGTATCTTAAAAGTTTTCAAACTCACAGACAAACTATCCTAACTCAAGCGCTGTTTTTTAATGTGTCTTAACTCCATAGCTTAACAACTGAACATCCGACATGATAAATAGAGGCGCGTCCGAATTAGAATAATTTGTCCGGGCGTCTTTCGCACGGCGTTCAAGATGGAATATATTGAGGGCTATTGAACAAATGAGATAAAGTAATTCGGGGCAATCGACATAGTATGTTAGAGATGGAAGTCTGCTATTCAAGAGGTTACTGCTCCCATTCCTGTGAGTGGATACTCTAAACATTGAAACGCATCTCAGTTTTGAGGAAGTAGTGGTTTTAGATTAGTTGAAAAACGTTAGGAAAGTTATTTTTATTCTAAGCACGTATGTAGAGTTCGCATAAACTTTTACTGATTTCTATAAAATTATGCATATACATACCTATTTGTGACTTGTGCGTTTGCGTTATTGATATGCGAACATTTGCATCAATAATTACAGTTAGGCTACTAATGGCTAATTGCAAACAATAAACAATTTTTCATTTAATGATGTCCATTCTGAGCAAGAAGTGCCATAATATTCATTTTTAAAGTGGAAACAGCTAAGGAAACTCTGTGGGTGTTCATAATTGCTCGACAGTTAAACCAGCGGCAAGTTGATAAAGTGATGCAGATTGGATTGTATACTATTAATACATATTTACATAATTATACTGAGAAAATATAAGTAAGTTCGAATTGGATTCATATCGAATTTTCGAACATAATGTTCTTAACTACAGGGAGACAGGCGCTCATAAAGTTTTCAATAAAAAAAAGTTACCGAATTCAGTAAAAAAACGTTTCCTTATAAAAACCGAAAAGTATCAACAACTTTGCTTCGACACAACAACAAAGGCGCTGCAAGTTGTAAAGAAACAAAATAGTCCGAAAAAAGTGAGTACAATTTTTTGGGTGAGACAAATAATTTTCAAGCAAAGCGAATAAGTGCATTAGCTTGTACTAAAAAGCTGCATGATATTGTTTCTTTGCCAGCTCATTGAGCTAAGACTGTCTAGGTGGCAAAAATATCTGCTATCTAGTGCAAAAGTTCTTCTTCTTCTCCGGTTTAACAAACCTTTGTCGGTTTAGGCCGATACTAAATAACCTCGCCAGTTTTCTCACACCTTTGCAAAGTTTCGAAAGTGGTTGACACCGAGTGTACAAAGGTTCTTCTGCACATGGTCCTTCCACTGTATTTAAATCAGGGACCGAAATTAACAGTTTTTTTTCAACAGTCAAACTTGGCCAAATATTTTTAAAGTCCGAAATAAAAGTTCTTTCCTAATAATAAACAAACCGCTTATCCATATTAAAGAAGTTTGGTATCAAATGGAAGAGGGCTCAGATAGCTTTTAAACTAAAAAGTCTTAACGAGGAAAGCCACCTATTGAAATATATTTCAATAAGAAATGTTCTTTAATTACCATAGAACAAACCTGAATTTAATTATAAAAAATATATATATATAGGTATATGAATAAATTATTAAAAAAAACACAAATAGAGGTTGTAATCTTCGTTCGTTATTTCTGTTTAAAAGCTATTTTAATCCTCTTTTATTTGATACCAAATTTGCTCAATTTGGATAAGCGGTTTGTTTATTATCAGGGAAGGACTTTTATTTCGGACTTGAAAAAATATTTGGCAAAGTTTGACCGTAAAAAAATACATATGTGTTATTCTCGGTCCCTGATTTGTATCCCAATTTGTCAGGACTCTTTGTATATTGTCAGAGGATAACTTTTCTATACCCCATTCACCGTTAGATGAGTCTTGACTTTTCTAAAAACTAGTTTGATCTCGAACGGCGCTGAGAGGTCCTTTCCAGGAGCTAAAGGTTGTGCTAAACTCCACCGTATTACTTTTGTGGGGATACCAAATTTAAACACGTCGTCGTAGGCCCAATTAGTTGGTTCATAAAGAGCTTCAGTCTGTCACTGGGAGTCGTCGGTAAGACCTTATACGCAATGTTATGAAGAATTGTTTACTTTTTCTACCCTG